AACCAACTGTTAGATACATGTGATTTTGTAATTTTATAATTATAATGTATGATTAAAGTAGATTTATACAATATTATAAGTAGATTTAGGAATGAAAAATGACGTGTCATGATAAATTCATAATGTTATTGACATTGTAACTACATTATTTTTAAGGGGTGGTACTATTGGAACAATATTTTTGTTTCACTTTTTTATACAACTTTCACGTATTATTAAATGAATAGATGCATTCAATATCATAGTTCTCATATAAATTAAAAAAATCAATCATTTTAATGACACGTTAAGTTATAAAAAAAAATGAAACAAGTGGATTGTACAAATATCATTTCCCATTTTTAAGTAAATACGTTCAGTACAATGTGTATAGATTTTGACTGGTTTTTTTAAGGGTTGATTTAAGTCCAGATTTACGAGTTTGATGGGTTTTGAAGGATTCTGGTCGTTTTAGTTTAGGGGGTGATTCGTAGCATTGTTAATCTGCTTACTGCTAATCTTGATATATCAGTGATGCTGTGCAGTTAAATTCCCAGATGTTACGAGGGTTCAAGGATGCGCACTCTGCCAATATATTGCATCATGACCTTAAGCACAGAACTTCCTGTTAGTACTTGACTTTTTGTGGCTCTACAAATATTTTTGGTGTCAAATTGATTTTTCCCCTTGCTGTTTGCTTATTCTTTTGAGATTTTAAATATTGTGCTTAGAAATGGTAAGGTTTATTGGATTCTTTCTTTTCATCTCATTGTATTTGATAACTTATACATCCAGGTGATAACAATGTTGTCAAAAACACTTCAAATGGTAGGAGCATGTTTGTAATACAAGGTTGTCAATTGGCAAGCTTTCTTCTGGAAAATTGCAGGCTTTCTCTGTTCCTTGATCTGTCAACAGGCCGCATGGATGAGGAGAAACATCACTTGACACCCCTGCAATTTCACTGCAATTCCATTGAACCTTCTTTGGCTTTTTTGTCAGTCCGATGGTAACATTGGATATGCAGATTCCTGTAAAAGGATGGTCTTGAATCCCCTCCAACCTAGCTGCCATGGTCACATTCTTAGCAACCATGTCTCGGAAGTTGATGTTCTCGATCACTGGAATTGCATTCGGGTCGTAATTGTTATCCGGATGAGACCCATAATTGCCTGCCATCCAAAACACCATTTTCATGGTGTCCATGGTCATCCCTCTCACATATATGTCCTTGACATAGTTTCCTCTCCCTACTGCAGTTTTGATCCTGATTCCAGATTCTGAATCAATGGCTCTGATATCTTCTGCCCTAACGTCCTGTATACCACCAGACATCTCGCTGCCTAGAGCGATCACTGCACTGAAGGGAGAAATGCAGGTGAGCCGTCTGATCACTAGCTGCTTTGTTGGCATCCCAAACTTGATCCCATATTCATCCCAGCCGCTCTTAACTGCTACACAATCATCTCCAGAGACAATGTAACAGTCCTCTATCCTGGTATTTGTACACGAGTCTAAAAAAAAAAAAGAAAAAAAAGGAAAGAAACATTATCAAACCATTGAAAACACTTCAATTTCTAAACCTCCATTGAATTTTTCAGTTACTAACCTGGGTTGATCCCATCAGTATTTGGGGATTTTACTGGCGCAAGGATTGTTATGCCTTGAACAACAACATTGCTGCATTCATCATCAGAAGAAATTTTAGAACACATAATTTAAGAAACAAAGCAAGGAAAATGGTAAAAAAAAAGGGGGACCTGCTGTAAACAGGATGGATGTTCCAGGAAGGGGAGTTGAGCAAGGTGAGATTGGAGATTTGAACTGTGTCAGAATACATGAGCTCAATGAGGTAAGGTCTAGTGTATTTCAGCTCTCCATTGTGGAATTTGTTCCACCAGGTTTCACCCTGCCCGTCTATGGTGCCATTTTCCCCTAAAACACAAAAGGGACAGTCTAAATTTCATTGATCTCACAATCAAAACATGAATTAATTCAAAAGTTTTTTGGTACCCACCTGTTATTACAACATCAGTGAGATTAGTTCCAAAAATCAAACTGATGTACCTTCCACCTTGTGTGTCCCTCCCTCGGCCATAGGATGGCAGAGGTTCAATTACAGTCCATTCATTCTCATCCTAACCACAAATTTTCAAATTCAAGAACAGAAAGAAGAAATGAAAAACCCAGATTAGCTGAGTACTTTGGAAAATTAAAATTTGTAACCTGGGAAGCAAGAAGAGTGGCATCCTTGTGGAGATAGAGAGTGAAATGGCTGGTGAGGTTAAAGCTTCCGGTGAGCCATTTTCCGGGGGGAACAAAAAGTTGGGATCCACCATCTGATGCATATTGGCTCAGATTACTGATTGCAGCCTGAAAAGCCATTGTGTTTGATGTTGTTCCATCACCAACTCCTCCAAAATCAGTGAGTGACGCAGTGTGCTTTCTGCAGCTAATAGCTGAATACTGAAAGGAGTTCACAACTCCACCCTCATAATGTTTGGCCTGCTTCCGGCTTTCGACTCCATTTGTTTCGAACAAAACCAGAAATATGCTAAATACAAGTATGATATCAAGAACCTGCAAAATCAAGGAATCCAAATCCATGAAATATTTGCCCAATTTTCTTACAGATGACAGCAAATGAGGAAGATTACCTGTTTTTTTCTAAAAGATGTCCAAAACTCCATTCTACAAGAGATGAGTAGGCTATTGTTTGGTGCAGAGATTGTAGCCTTGTAGGAGTATATATATAGACTTCCAGATTGATCTTTTTTCTTTTTGGTAAAATCCAGATTGATCTTATATCCATGACACTGTGAGGATGAGAAGGCTTTCCACCCTTCCTTCTTTTTTTTTTTTTACCAGAGAAACAATTTTTTATATATTTTTTACATAATTTTTACATATTATTAAATAAATGGATACATTTAATATCATAAATCTTACATAAATTAAAAAAATTATTATTTAAATAATATATTAAATTATATAAAAAGATAAGATAAAAAGAATTGTACAAAAAAAATTTTTTTTTTCATTTTTTTCTAATTAATTATAATTACAAGCAGCCAAATATAATCTTTTGTATTTTGTTGAGACCGGAAAAGTTTTGAGGTCAAAATTTCACCAGCATCATAAAGTCCGAAGAGTTATTTCCAGTTACAAACTGGCATTCCATTGGGGAGTGGAAGGCGCACTAAGAAAACATGCCCACTTGCTCCATTTTCTTTATATATCTGGAAACTCCAATATCTCTCACCATTGCCTAAACCTAACTAAGATTCCATCTGTGCAACCCACTCGGGTTGGTCGGTCCAATACTAAAGAATCATGCAAATCATAATAAAAATGTAAATTTCAAATTCCTCAATCAACATTTCCTTATAATATAAAATCTTAATAAATCACACATGTCGCTTGTCCACGTTTAAGTAGAATTTTATATGATAACTTAGACATGGGGATTTAGAAGTACTTGTGGGGGGAGTTATTGGTGAGTAATATTGGGAGAAATGTGATGGATTCCATGTGTGACCACATGGCTTGCAGTTTGTATAATTTGGACCTCTCGTCCTGCTATTAATCCTTGTAATAAACAGAAAGTTAGACTGTGACGAAATGGGTGATTAAAGATTTTTGTCCTGGTTTGGGTTATTGGGTGAGTAATATTGGGAGGAATGTGATAGATTGGGGTCCAGAGTCTAGAGATGATGGTGTACTTTTTTTGGTTGCTCCTGTAAAGTGCAAACCCGTGAGCAGCGGTGGCCACCTATTCACGGGAGGAGCAGAGCAGAGTTTAATCCAAGTCGAAATTTCCTGGAAACAAACTGACAAGCTGCAAGGCCTAGGAAGCATACACACCACGCCACAGGTTTTTTTTTTTTTTTTTACACTAAATCTTAGGATCTAAATATTATATTAAGAGATTAGTGTTTATTCATTTTATTTTTAAAAAATTAAGAGAAAAAATAACAAAAAAAATTTTAATTTATGTTTTAAAAATAAAATATTTTAATTTTTTTAATATATGTTTATTAAAATAACGTAATTTTAAAATAATATTTTTTTTAACTTTTAAAAATAAAGCGGATAAATACTATTTTTTTTATATTAATCTTAATTAATTTATATTCAAACCAACATATATATTATGAAAAAAAAACTTTTTTAACTTTTATCTTTTTATTTATAAGACTTAAAATTAAAATTTAATTTTAAAAAAAATTTAATTTTAAAAAAATTTAAATTTTTTCTACTCAAATCAATAATTAATTGTGACGGAAGAGGATTTTGATATGCAACAAAGAATATTAAATTTCTCTTTCGGTATGTTAATAATGGCATGAGTGAGTAAGATCAGGATAGTCTGGTAATTATAATGTTAAGCGATAATAATGAAAAAATGTTAACATTTTAAAAATAAATTTATTTAAAATATTTAAGTAATTTTATGCATAATTTAATGATATCTTAATTTTCTAATGAGGTAATGACTTTTTATTAGTACGTCAATTATAGAGTACAATAACTTTTGTAATTTCAAAACCCCTCCCCAATTATAGTGAGCTATTGTGGTCTCTACATTTCCCACTTATATTATATTATTTTTGGCATTTAATTATTGGTTTATTGTCAAGTGTTATCAATTCCCTCCTATTTACAAAAAGTAGACAACCTCAGTCATTGCAGCAGCTAGAAAAGATAGAAGAGATAAGATAATGGAAACGTCAAAGTTTACAAAACTATAGAAAACAAAGGTTTTATCATTATCCACTTTATTGGGCTTCATGGGACATAGTTTATAGATACTGGTAAGCTTTTGGGGCCTGGTTTGTATTTTAAAGGGCCGCTTGGGCCAAACCTGTCAACATAACTACCTGTAGCGGGCCTTCAAAACCAACTCCAAAATCTGCTTCTTCTTTTTTTCCCCTCTTTTTCTTTTCTTCCTTTTTTTTTTTTTTTTTTTCAAAACCAACTCCAAAATCTGCTTCTTCTTTTTTTCCCCTCTTTTTCTTTTCTTCCTTTTTTTTTTTTTTTTTGAGGGGGAGGGGGAGGAGGAGGGTGGTGGGGAGGGAGAATTCTTCTGTTTCTTTTTAAATCAACCCCAGTTTCAATATGAAAACAACTTAAATCATCAAGTCGTCAAATGAACAAAAAACAAAAAAAATGCAATGTGTCTCTCCGAGGGAAGAGCAAAAGACTTAAGTGAGATACATATGCAAGAAGAGGGGAATTGTATTGGAGAAGAATTACACTACATACAATGGCATACACAACAAATTCGCAATTACCTTAAATATATAATAGAGATTCATGATGTTTTTCCTCCTAAGCATAACATATATACTGAATTAAGCAAAGGATGTTCATGCATGCATCTTCGAAAAAGAGGGATATAGAGAGTTTCCCTAGTACTAATACCTAATCCATATTCTACCATATGGAACTTCTACACTGGCCAAAAGAATGTGGAACTTCTACAGATACTAAATGCATGTTTCTACTTTCTACCATAAAAAAATTTGAATGGTTCACATATATGTGTGAATGTGTGTGCATGTGTGTGGGTAAGATCATCTAATTTATAGATGAAATGTATGTGCACTGAACCAATCTTTTCACTAAGTTTCATGTGCTCTCTGTCAATGATGTTCCATGATAAATGCCTGCATGTTGTTTTATGTATATTCTTAGTCATGTTGAAGATAAAGAAAATGACCAAATTTTTTATGCAAAACCCTATGTTAAGTTTTCAAACTTAATCTAGATTCTCAATTAAGTCCTTAAACTTTTATTGAAACAAATAAGCATCTAAACTAGTTGATTTAGGTAATTTAACCCATCTTCTTTACAACAAACTTAATGCTCGTTTATATATTGCTTGCGTAGATAAAATATTAATATGTCATTGCTTGTGTAGTAGGTATTGACCTTATCCACACTAATAAGACATAAATGTGTGTTAAGTCTACTATAAAAAAGGATTAAATTAGCCAAATCAATAAATTTAGGGGCTTATATATTTTAATAAAAGTTTAAAAACTTAATAAAAAAATTAGGATAAGTTTGGGGGCTTAACATTAAGGTTTTGTCAATTTCCTATGTGAGTTTGAGGGCATATTGCTTATTTATCTTTTGTTATTACTTCTATGAACTCATGTTCTATATGTTGCAATTAAGAAACAACCACGCACGTAGCAATTAACTGCCATGTTATATGTAAAATCTCTATACTTTATTTTGAGTGAAAATTCTAGAGAAAAGGAGAAATCCAAACACTGTTAGACTTAAAAGGGAGATAACATGAAAAGCACCCACACAAGAACTCAGAAATTAAGGAAAAACTCAAATGCTTAGAAGATGGACGCTGCTTAGAAGATGGACATGCTACTCTTAGCAATTTACCATCATTGCTATGTATGATCAACATTAACACATATGGAAGCGGCTCAACTATTGCTAATGTTCAATCAACTTCTTCAAAACAAAAACATTAACATATATATAGTAAGAAATGATCTATATATAGATGGAGTTAGGATCCATTCATATATAACTCTTATATACATTACCTATACAAAATCTTAATCATTCATCTCTTCACTATAAATGGTTGAGATTTACAATGGTTTTTTAGATTTTTTTTTTAAAAAGGGATAATTATCTTTTAAAAAAAAAAAGAAAGATAAAAGGTAGATAAATTTTAACTATTCAAAATAAAAAAATAAATGGTTAAAATTGCATATGAGTCGTATATTAATGTATCTTAACTTATGTATGTATATATATAGGGGGGAGGGATCCATTTATGGACAAGTTTTACACATTACATTTATATAAGATCTTAACCATTCATCTTTTCATTTTCAATGATTTGGATTTATCACAATTTTTTAGATAAAAAAATAGTTATCTTTAATAAATATAAATAAATCTTAATAATTAAAAGTGAAAAATTGAATAATCAAGATTTTATGTAAATATGATATATAAACATTGTGTGTAAATGGATCCTAACTTATATATATATATATACACCTATCTACCACATTTCTCTCTTTAGAGACTGAATCTACTTATGTATGCCTAGTGCTTAATTATAAAGAACAGAAGGTGGTTTCATGGTTTCTGGAACAGACTGTACAGAAGATGAAAGAGGAAAGACCAATACCAAATTTGGTCTCTCATAACCTCATAAGTGTTTCTCCTTTTAGTTTGCCACAAAAGCTTGCACCAAGACAAGTGGGGCTGTAAACACATCTACCCAATCAGGAAATGTTTGGTTTTATTGGTCATTCTTTCCACTTTCCATGGCCATTAATTAAAGAACCAGAACCCCATCTATAAACTAATTGACATTTGACATGATCAAAATATCTAGCACATGAGAAAAAAAAAATTAATCTTTAATTAGTTTAGAGTACAATAAAATAACAAAAGTAGCAGAAAAAGGGCAATACCAAGTTTTTATGTTAGTTATTGTCTGGAATCACGTCTTAATCCATGAAATCTAAAATCGAAATGGAAAGTATCACTTATGTTTTCCATATTTGACAATGAAAAATAAAAGACAAACCTTAGTATCAACAACATCAAATTCTATCTGAGAATTCAGACACATTGGTACAATCAAACATAATTCTAAAGGGAGTACTGACACCACTTTTACATCCACATCTGACTTGTGCTAGAACAACATTTGCAAACTCAACACTCATGGGAACTGAACATCCCTTATTCTAAAGATGTTACTTAATTAAGGACCAAACCAAACATAGTGACCTGCAACATATATATATGCCCGAACCCTTAAATGATAGTTGTAAAAATCAAAAGAAGGAAGCATGATCACTTATCTCCAAACAGGTACCCCAGAGAGGAATCTCCACCAGGAACTGATTTAACTTTTGTTGATGGACGGCCCTGGAATCATATCATGTACTTTAGAAGGTAGCTAGGTAAAAGCTATCATGTATACGTAGGAGAAAATGGATTTTCATCATGTATGCATTTGTGGACTACTCACAGTAATAAAGTTCCCTGAATTCTGTCCTTGAGCTCTATGATAATTGTTTGTAACATTCTCTTGTGTCTCTGCAGGGCTGTTGGTGGAATTCTTTTCTGTCCCTTTAGGGCGTCCGTGAGCATCCGGAGGTTTCTCTGTGGTGATGGTATCTATACCATATGGAGGCTGAATTGTCTGTGTGACTGGAGGTGCACTTGGCTGCTCATCAGCTCCAAACAGATAGCCGAGGGAACTTTGCCCGCCACCATAGCTGCCCCCTCTACTCATGGTTGGCCTTCAACAGATAAATCAGCTTAGCAAGGAATTGCAAATAAGGGGATAGACAGGAGATAACCCTAATATAAAGAGTGGTTCTTTGCCTCGATGTATGGATGTGCATATGCATATACTTTTTTGGATGATGATGATGATGATGATGATGATTATCTACTATGCTTACTTTAATGAACAGTAAAAACAAGCTGATGCGTTGGAATTTTCATGTTAGAAAAGGCTAAAAATTAATGGCATCATATTATTTGGATAAATAAGGTCATGACATGCATTTCTGTATATATGTATGGCACACTAGTTAATATACTCTCCGATTCAATATATTATATAAATATTTATTAAAAAATTATTAATTATTAATTTAAAATTAAAAATCAACAAACTTAAACATGCAATCATACATACAATATGCACAAATCGATTATATTTATATTATATTTTAATTGCTAAATTGAGTAAATGTTGAAAGATATATTTAATGAAAGGGTAGGTCAATCATTTTCCTATATGTATGTTGGTGACTTTCTTGCACAAAAACATAAATTCAAATAGAATGTTTTCTCATGTGAACCATGATGAAAACCCTATAATTGCTTTCGTCATACACACGAAAAAAATATGTCAATTAATTATATCATTGCTCTTAGGCCAAATTACTGAATTTAGTGTAATGGAGTTACTAGTGAAAAATAAATACCTACAATAATGAGATGCAATTGTAATGAACTCAATTCTTTTTCAGCCTCCAAATTAGATTTCCACATCAAGTTCTACAGATAAGGCGAGATAAAAAAATCTTTGAGTAGGAAGTACTGTTAATTTCTTCTTGGGACCCTTATATGCATACAACAGAATGTTCATCCTTTATAGTTTGTAACTGATATATAAAGCAAATTAAGGATATATAAAAATACTCTTAAAGTCTATGCTGAAAAGAAGATCAATCCCAAAAGTCAATCTATAGGGGAAAAAATAATAATAATCCATGTTAGGAATCTACAGAAGTTTCTCAGGTGCACCAGAAGATTACGTGACAGCAATGCAAAGTTAGCCAAAAATGACTTTGGAACTGTCAGTTTGCAAAGTTGATGAAATGAGTTGGTTAAGTGTCCTCATCACCTAGAGCAACACAATAACCATAATTTAGCAATATTAGTGATGCTCATTTCAGTGCAATTCACAAACAACTGAAGGTCAAAAAACATATATCACTTAGTATCTCCTCTTCCTAATTCAGGGCTTGTTCACTTTAATAATCAACCAAAACTCTTATAATTATAAAAAAAAAACATTGCTTAATACCCGTTTGATGTTGGTCCCACTAGACAGTCATTCACAGAGTCTTAATCAAGGTTCGATTTCATCGTACAGAAGCCATGGCAGCAGAGTATGGATTTTACTGTAACTGTACCATAACATGATCGGGGTTGTCATCAATCAGTAACACATTAACTTTTAACTAAATTGGAGCAGGGTAGCGTAATTGGGGTTAAATCAAGATAATGGGTGCCTTTAACATGAGGGAAATGATAATTGCTGCTGTTTGGACCCATCAATGACTTGTATTCCTCAAAAACAAAAAAGAAAAAATAAACAAAAGTACTTTGATTCAGTCATGTACAATTCGGTAGGAAGGGAACCTCTGGGCCAAAAGCAGGAGAATCTTCCACTAATGGTCATTCCACCATGTAAAAAGGAATTGAAGGTAGTATTGGTATATGCAAATATCTTAACCATCTCTGAAGCTCTTGTTCTAAAAAATCAAGATATTGAACCTGCATGATTGTATGCAGAATCTATCTGGAAAAAGATGGAAAGGATTGATCGAAACTTGTGAAGGTCTATTCAGTTATCTCAGCCACATATGTTTTAAAGGTTTGCAGATGGTAATGCAACAAACTCGGAGTATAAATAAAATAAAAAAATAAAAAAATAAAAAGGTATACCTTTTGAAGCCAGCTATTTTGATGCCTTATTTATTTATTTTTTTCTTTCCATGGGTTTGAAATGCCAGTTTTGAAATGCTTTAAGAAAACTATAATCAAAATGAAAATTCAACAATAAAATGAGTTGGATTGCACCTGCATCCTTATTAGGGCCTGTAGCCTTTATCAATTGGCTCATAGACATTGGACAGCACTACATTGCTGACTAAGTACAGAGATTTTGAGTCTTCTCTTTGACCCAAGGAATGGCCAAACTATCATGTAACAGTGAGTTGCATGGTTTTGTGTTTGGTTTCTTCCGATGGTTGCAGTTTTCTTCATCTAGCTCCCAAGCAGCAAAGTTTAAAGCATCAATTCTTCGAAATTTGTCAAAATAATTAAATTCCAGAAATCTCTTGAAGGAGAAAAAGGAATGATAACAGAGATACTTGTAAACACAAGTAAGATCCATATGAAAAAGGAAAGCAGAAAGATGAGAAGAGGTCACATTAACTCTCAAGGGGGATGAGGTTTGTAGATCTTTACATGCATTCTGCCTGCTTGACATTATATATGTGCCATGTTAAAGTAAAAGGTGAAAAGAGCAGATCCTACAGACTCTAGGGACCCACTTCAGTAACTAAGTTGGAAGATGCACTATGAGTAATCTATGATAAAGACTTTTGCTTTCACTAGAGAAACTAGAAGATAAATTCTCATTTCCTTTTTGAAACAAACAAAAGAAGATCACCTAATCCAGATTGACATTTCAGCTAAACCAAAAGAAAAGGTAAATATAAAAACAAAAAATGTTGTCTATAGTCGGCAAAACCCCATAGATTGCCTTTCAACTTTTTGAGTGTTTGGAACTTTACCTCTCACCTTATAATATGTGATTTTATATCTTTTTAATATGATTTTATACCCTTTTAGTATTCGAGTGTGTAAAACTTTACCCCTCACCTTACAACTTTAGGAGGGTGTGACATCATAAATTCAAATATCATGAGGGTGTAAAATCATAAACTCCAACATCATGAGGGTACAAAATCACATATTGTAAAGTGAAGGATAAAGTTCCACATACTTAAAAAGTTGAAGGGCAATATGTGGGTTTTTGCTTCTATAGTCTATCTTCCACTTAAAAATATTTGAGGTTGACGTGAAGATTCATTAATGATTTTGCTTTTTTTTCCACTCCACACTAATGTTGAATTAAAAAACAGCATCCTAATCTATAAAATCACTTGTCTTTTTTATTGTTAGATTAATGGGGGCAAAAGCCTACTTTAACCCTTTACCTTAATAATTTTGTAAGTTTTAGCTCCCCACCTTATATTATAACATTTTTAGCCCCTTACCTATACAAATTGAAAAAAAATAGCTCTTACTTAACATCAGGTTATAATGTTTTATTAGTTCTGTTAACTGACTATTAACTCCATTAACTGACTATTAACTCCATTAACTGACTATTAGCATTTCGTTAATGGAACTAACAAATAAAATTGAGTTTAAATTGAGTTTAAATTTCATATTTTCTATAACAAAATGCTAACAGTCAGTTAATAGAGCTGACAGTCAATTAACATAGCATTAAATAAGGGTTATTTTCTTCAATTTGGATAGACGAGGGGCTAAAAATGTTATAGTATAAGGTGAGGGATTAAATCTACAAACTTATTAAGATAAAGGGCTAAATGTAGGTTTTTGCCGATTAATGGGTTGGACCAAGTTCAATTTCAATTCTGCTTAGGAGTGCTATAGCAATTGATGTAAAGTAGTAACAACTAAACTTCACATTTTAGCATCAAAATGATTCATCAATCTTGATGAATTTCAAAGAAAGTTGAGACTTTTCGCAACCTATACAATTCAATTGATGGTGCATCAATAACTGTATATCTGTTCAAAAGAGTAGTAATCACTAAGTTTTTGCTTACCTCTTGATTCAAGGTGGAGTCTTCCCCAATTGAATTCAAGTTAAGGTTATCCTAGAGCAACCTGAACAACTAGTTTCACGAGAGTCTTTCGGCTGTTTATTGGCGAAGAAACTATTCACGTTGCCAGAGTTACCTATCCATTGAAATTTGAACTGAAGAGAGTGACTCCCACTGAAAATGTTACAATTCTCATTGTAAAAAAATCAAATTTTAAAATACTTCAGGGTCCTTTTTATAAAAACAAAGACTTCCAAGGAAAAGAAGGAGGTTAAACCCCCATTTTAGTCCCTTAACTATTGTACGAATTCTTGATTTAGTCCCTGATGTCTCGCCTCAAAATTAATATCCTTTGGCTAAGCGGTTGTTATAGCATAGCTTTAGGTGTCGAATCCACAGGAAAGCTATATTAAATTAACAAAAAAAAAATTGTCACAATGAGAAATTAAATTAAAAGATGAATTCTAAAATTAAGAATAAAAATATTTAAATAAAAATGATAATTGTAAAAGATTGAAAACAATATTATGATGAACAAAACTTCAGGGTTCACTTAATTGATTTGTTTAACTGTTATAAATTTTGATTCCTATTTATTACTCAATTGCATGTTTCACATCCCAAACAAACAATCGGAAAATTCAACTTTGAAAATCAATAATAATGACTGATATATTTATTTTGAGAAAAATTAATTTCAATAAAGAACAAACTGATCTATCCTTACGAGCTATTCGAGAGTGACAATATATCTAATCGACAATACTGCAGTAAAGGATCAATCCGCAAAACAAATCTACCAATTAATTATATTCTAACAAATTACACATAAAAAGAGCATGACTAATCTTATATGAAATTTGATAAATATAATTTTCAAGGTTTTCAAGTCTGAAAATACTTAATAATATCTCAAAAATAAAATTAAATAATAAAATCTATGAATGAATCAAAATAAAATAACAAGTCAAACTTTTCAATCAAAATCCTCCCTAATCTTATTGAAAATTTAGTTGATTTTTGATATAATTCTCTAGCCTTGAAGAAGAAAATAGAAATCTAGTAGCAGCCTCTCCAACCCTGCAACCCCTTCTAAAATAACTTGGATGAGTATTTATAGAATTCTAGAAACCCTAATTAGAATGGATGTAGGGCCCACATCACAAGAATTAGGACGGTGATTTAGCTGAATTATCGCGCAAGGGGTCGACACTCTTTACAAGGTGCCGGCACTTTGAGTGGAGCGTCAACTGCATCCTCCGTGTCAGGTTTTTGGCTTTTTGTGCAATTTTGGTTAATGGTAGAATAACAGTCTTGGTCCCTGACTCCTGGATTTCGCGCAAGTTGATCATCATATTTCTGATCTTTGCAATTTGCTCCTTGCATTTAAGTCCTTTTTCTAATTCTTCTCCATTTAACATCAACTTTCAATCACCATAAAATTTGCACAACATGAATAAAATGAACACTTATGAAATTACCTGTAGAAAAATAAAACTCTTAAACCCATAATTCCACAAATGTCAATGATTAAGCATACTTTAGATATACATTTTCATGCTTTCATCACAACCCCCAACCAGCTTATTGCTAGTCTCTAGCAATTCAAGCGTGAATTAAGGAAGAAAGCATGTTGATTAGCTCAAAAGGGTATCTAGCAAGACTACCTAGGCATTTAGAAAAAGATCACAGTCGCTATCAAGATTACTTCAATTGTAACTTGCAAAAGTGTATGTGTGTGAACTAGGCATAACCTTCATACCACAAACCACAACATATATATAGCCTTGAGAATTAATCAAAGTAAAAGCCTCAACTCCATATCCTCACGGGTTAATAACTGTTTAAGGCAAAGGACTTCTCTCATGGAGTTGGAAAGTAGCAAATCACTCAAAGGAAAAGGCAAAATTTAACGGACAATCAAACAAACAAACATTAATTAGAAGAAAGGCTAGTTAGCTATTCAAAATTCCACTACTCGTACTCCAACCAATTTCAGGATTTTAATCAATCAAATATGAGAGCAATACAAGTAGAGCCTAGTGAGAAAAACTGTTCCCTCAAAAGAAAGTTTGTCTTCTAAATTGATGGAGGACTTTATTTGGTAGAATTTTTTTTTTCTTCTTCTTTTTTTCTGGTTTTTTTTCTTTTTCATTCTTTTTTTTTTTTTTGAACTTTTTTTTTTTCTAAAACAAAGGAGGGAAAGCATAGAATTTCTCACATAACTAATATCACATGAATTATT